CCCCCCCCCCGACCCCAAGCTGCATGCTTATCCCCTTCCAAATCCCCGGCCCAGGGTTTGCCGGTTTTCCCTAACGTCTGCTGAGGGCATCTGGCGCCATCCGGGCCTGACCAGAGTGGTGCGCGCGGCTGTGCAGAGCCGGCTGGGCCCCGCAGGAAGGCGAGCGGGTGGAGGTCCCCGGTAGCTGCCAGGGTGGGGCCCAGGCTGGCAGGAGCGCATCTAATTTGCCTAAAAAGAGCCCAGGGTGGGGTTCAGCCCCCCGTGAGCCCCAGAAGAATCCTCAGTTCCTGTGACTATTGTTGACGACAGGGACCCGCTGGCTTAAGGCAGTAAAGGTGCAGGCATGAAGGGGAGACAGAAGTCCCATGAAGCATGAAGTCCTTGGTGGCAGGGGCTTGAATTTGGCTCACAGCACCCTGGCCTCCATGGCAGGAAGGGAAGCAGACCGCTGGGGCAGCAGGCTCGTTCTCCAGAGGAGGGGCGCAGTCAGTCCCTGCAGGGGTGCTGGGAACGCATCTCGTGGGCCCAGGCCCCTCCACGGTTCGAGCGCCGGCCGCCCAGCCCCCTGCTCCAGCTCAGGCCCCATCGTTCCCAGAGGGACCCAGGTGCCCCCGCGCCTCTTTTTCTAGCTGCTCCCTCCCTGACTCGTCGCAACAGCAAGGCCTGGGGCCAGGAGTTCTCTGCGATGCTGTCCGAACCCAGAGCCCGCCCCCCTGGCTCTGCCGCCTCCCGGCGCAAGGTCGAGCTCCCGTCTTCTGAACCCAGAGCCAAAGTCTTCCTTGTCTGGCCGTGTCCTCTGGGCCAAGAGTAGCCCCCGTGCACCACATGCGGCTAGGACGGCTCTGGCTTCTGAGGAAGGACTACTGTGTGGGGTCTTCCCTTTATTTTGCAGAAGCAAATTCTGAGGCTGACAGAGGTCCAGTGACCTGCCCAGGGCCCTTAGGGTATGACAGACAGAGTCTTCTTATCCCACACCCTTCTCACCATAGTCCACTTCTGGGAGAGCTGCGCCTTGAATGCCTCCATGGAGAGGGAGCTCGCTGCCACGTGAGGCAGCCCCAGCCATGGTTGTGAAGTCTCAGTGCAATTCCTAGAAGAGCTAAAATCTTCTTGCCCATAATTTCCACTTCTCCTTCCTGCTTCTGCCCCTCACATTGTACAGAGTAGGCCTGGCTCCAGCCTTTGGGGCCGGGTGAGTCTTTGGGGCGTCTGGGGTTTGGGGTGGGGTGCATTGTCAGGGGTCGAGTGGCATCTCTGGCTACTGCGGCAGGACCCAGGATTGTGGAGATCCAGATGGATGCTGGGCCAGAGTGAGTGGCAGCTCCCGCTCAGTTTGATTCTGGAAAGAAAAGATTCTATCTCTGAAAAGGTGGAGAGATAATGTCTCCCAGGAGAGAACCCTGCTGGTGGAGAGCATGGGCTCTGCAGGCCGGAGCTGGAATCTGGGTGGACGGCAGGGCTTGCGGAACGTGGAGGTGGGGCCGGGCGGGATGCCCCTGGGGAGTCGTGTCCCGCGAGCCTGAACCCCCAAAATGTTCAGCACGACTTGCAAAGTAACAGTGCAACCGCGTGACTGTCAGAGGGCCCCTCGACCCCACGCACACCTGCTGGTGGAATAGAGGCCAGCCCCCTTGGCCCAGGGAGGCCAGCTGGATTCATGGGGTACCAAGGGACCAGAGAAACTGGGGTTCCCCTCCTGCAGCCGTGTGGCCTGACCGAGGGGGCCCAGCCCTGTGCACAGACACAAATCCCCGGGCAGGGGCCCCGAGGAGCCGCGCTGCATAAATCCCGTTGTTCGGAAGGCTCTGTACTCCCTTAGGGGCCATCGCCAGTGCGTACTAGTTATTTATGCCTCAGGAATGAGGGGGTGGCAGCGGCAGCAAGCTCACGGCCTGCTCAAACATGCCCTCTCTAAGTGCTCTGATAATTGCAGCCATGGGGCCCCGTAAATCCAGGAGAGATCACCCTGTCAGCTCAGCAAACGCCGCCGTCTCGTGGGCAGGGAGGAGAGGTAGATGCTGGCCCTCCCGTGGCACTGCCCAGCCGGCGTGGAAAGGCACTGGCCACCCATAGGCGTGGGGCCCATGGCAGCCCCGCCTCCCAGTGGCCCAGCAAGGACCAGGCAGCCCTCTGATCTGACCCCCTACCGCACAGCGGCTGATGGCAAGGGTGGAGGCCCAGAGATGTAGAGCTCAGACTGGCGGCCGTGGGAGCTGGCCTGGCGGAGGGAGGCAAGGGCATAGGGCTCTCCCCCTTCTTCTTGCACTTGTGGGCGTGGAATCCTCTTACTTATTGGCGTCATTGTCAAGGTTGGGCCCGCGATCGCTGTTTTTAGAATTCTGCACTTTGAACTTGAACATGGAGCCCAGATCCGGGTATTCTAGTAAAGCTGTGTTTTCTGTAGCTGGTCCTGAAGGGACCGCCTTGGGGTGTCCCCGCTGGCAGGGGTGGGTGTGGGTCCAGGACTGTGGCAGGATGAAACGGACTGTCATGGGGCAGGAGGGGGGCTGTCGCTGCCTACCCTGGTCTGGAAACTTCCATCCCTCCACCTGCCTGAGGATGTGGTACAAACCAGCCGCCTCCACGGCGGGTCGTGCGTGTGCCCAGGAGCTGGGGAGCCAGAGCGGGTGTGGCGGGTAAGGCCTGACCCCGAGAGGTGCCCCGTCCCCCTCTCGCTGACATGCGCCTCTCTTGTGCCCCCAGACGAAGAAAGGGTATCAGAAGACGGTTCTGGAGATCGACACTCCCAAGGTGGAGCAGGTGCCCATCGTGGACATCATGTTCAATGATTTCGGTGAAGCGTCCCAGAAATTTGGATTTGAAGTGGGGCCGGCTTGCTTCCTGGGCTAGGAGCCGCGAGCCCGACCCCCGAGAGCAACCTCGTGACCTCAGCGCGCCGTCTGCGGGCGTCCTGGACAGTGAAGGCCCCTCGCCCCTCCCCCGACCTCGTCCGCGCGGCTCCGTGCCCAGCCAGACCCCACACCCACAGAGAGCTAAGGGGAAGGGCTGAGTCCCCTACCCCGGAGCCGAGTCACATGACCTAGACGGCCCGCCACCACTGGGCCCCCCACTTTCTCAGGCCCCTCCCGTCGCCACCACATGCCACAGGGATGGGCGGGGGCCACACTTTTGCCACGGAGCTGGCCGACCCGTCGCCTGCAGGGAGGGGTCACTGGGCCGGGGCGGGGGAGGGGGCGCAGTATTCGGAGATCACTTTTTTTTTTTTAATTCAACTTGAAGATGTGTATTTCCCCCGACCTTCAAATCATGTTCTGAGGCAAGCCTTGTCAAGGTCGTCCCCGCCCAGCCAAAGCCTCTGTTTTCAACTACACGATCCATTCATGGGCCAAATGTCATTCCGCATGTGCCTTTCCTATGGATTCAAGGTGCTTTCGTTTTTGTGAGTTTTAAGTAAATATTTGTATTGTATTGTCATAAACGTGCAGCGTCCCTGACTTTCAATCATGCACGGGAACCCAGCTTCAGCCCCACCGGAGAGTGGGGACAGGGGGTGGGCAGTCCCATTCTGGTGAGAAGCGAGGTGCCCCCGGCCCCACCCGGGCCTAGAACGTGCAATAAAGCGGAAGATTGCCCGGGGGACACACGGCCGTTTGGCCAGCGGGCGCCACGTCCCTCTTCACACAATTTTTTCATCAGCTCTGTAGGGTTTTTTTAATGGAGAGGGAGAAGAAAAAAAACAGAAGAACTTTATGCTTTGCCTTTCCTTCATGCACTTAGATTAAAACGCAGGCATAAATTAATTTTAATTGCTTCCTTTCTCCAGTCTTCTTCCCGCAGAGCCTAATGGGAGTATGTCCAGGGCAGGGAACCCACACTCTCTGTAGATGGTCCTTACGTGATAATTGGTGCTCACTTTACACTTGTCTTTTGTGGTGCTATCTGTTCTAAGGTCTCCTTGAAAGGCAACGCGGGGGTGCGGGGCCGAGCCGCCCCCTCCCGCCTTCCGTGGACCCGGTCATCACCCCCACAGTGCGGGTCCCTGCCAAGGACGTAAAGGTAGACGTGTGCCTCCTTCCTTCCCGCTGGGCCCACGCGCTTCTGCGCCCGCGGCTCACGGCGAGGCCCGCTTCCATTGTCAGGCTGTGCTTCCGTGGCTTGAAAACACACCCACACAAGTAAAAGCTGCCCTGCACTGTCCGTGCTGGGACGATCGCAGGCTGTATCTGGTTGCTGAACGTTTGGTGCTAATTTCTGTGTTTGTGCCGAGAACTGAATCAAAGCTACGTGTGCGTCCCAGCTGGGTGGCCCGGGCGGGGCCTCGGTGCCCGGGCAGGGGGGCCGCAGGCTCTGCGGGTGTCTGCAGGGCTGCCGCAGGGCCTTCTCCCCACAAGAGCGATTTGGATTTCCATCCACAAGCATCCCGGGCTCAGGTCTCGGCCGCAGCGGAGCACAGGGCTGGCGAGGCTCCATCTCGGTTCCGTTCCTTCTCCACGAGCGAGGGCCAGGGGCTGCCTTCCGGGGGCGGAGGACCTGATGGCCCAGCGAGGACTGTCTGTCCCTTTACTGTGAAAAGCTGGCCATGCCCTTTCCTTCCGCGATGGGGGAAGCAGGTGGGGCCCCCGGGCCCTGCTCAGCCCCCTCGGGAGGAGATGTGACAGGCTGGGTGCTGTCCCCTGCCCACCCTGGCCCGCCAGGGAGACCACAGCAGAGAGCCCCCCCCCCCCCGCCCCGGGCAAAACGAAATCACCCACTAGGATTTCCCGAATTCTCGTGGAAACTGAATCTTGCTGTTGCCAAAGAAAAGCCTGGCTTCAAGGTTCTTTCACGCCTGGGATGCTGGCCCCCCGCCAATGGCGGCCACGCCCGTCTCTTCCCAAGCAAAGCCGTACGCCAGGGCTGCCGAGCGGTGCTCCGTGGGTGTTGTCTAGGTCATGTGATTCCGTTTTGACCCCTCGTCCCTCCCGAGTCCGCCGCTCTGTCCTCCCCATCCTGTGGTCCCTTTAAAGCTGTCGTCATTTGTACTGAAGTCAAACGTGTCCCCTTCTCCCCAGGCCACTTCGCTACGGTATATTGCAATAAAAAATACTTCTTATATTTGCAGAAATTCTCCTGGCGTAATTCTTATTCTTCTTGTCGATACAGCTGGTCACTTGTTGCTGGAAAGGGAGAAGCATGAGCGTCTAAAAACCCACAGAAAAGGTCTGAGACGTTGGGCCCTTTAAAATACAATGTCCAATGACACCTGTCTCTTGCCCAAAACCCCCCTAGACACGTTCCTAAGTTTTACCTGTAAGGCCCAAGGAGGGGTGTTTTAAAATATTTTAAACCTGTGCGACGGAAGAGTCCTTGTAAGAGTTTTTCAATAAATCAAGTCTGCTGTTTCCACCGTGAACACACGTGGTTGGCTGTCTTCTTAAGGGCCACAGGGCCATCCCCTGCACTGAGCCCCTCCCGGTGGCCGCGGAGAGCAGAGAGCGTTTCCCCCGGAAGACGCAGCCATGGGCCTGTCCTGGACGGGGCTATTCCCTGGGGGCCAGCAGGATGCGCCCAGGTGCCAACTCTGGGGGTGCTTCAGGGTGGCCAGGCTCATGCGGGCCCTGGCACACGTCCCCGGGGCTCCCTCCCCTCTCTGCTGTCCACCTGCTCCTCCGGACCCCACTTCTCAGCCCGTTGGAGCTGGGCGGGGCGTGGGGCTCGCCCAGCCACTGACCGGGAGCTTCTGCTTCGACCTGGCTCTTCCAGTCTGCAGCAGGGGCTCCCTCCTGGGAGCGCCGCGTCCTCAGCGGATCTGGAGGGGTCCTCAGCCCACCGGACATGAATTTGCAACAGAGTGAGAGACACACATTTGTTGCTTTAAGCCAGCGACGTCCGGGATTGTTACTTCCTGCACCAAAGCCTGGGCTGGTGTTTCTTAAAGTGGGGTCCTCGGGCTGGCAGCACCAGCATCACCCCTCGGGTAGAGAAGCACGTTCTCGGGCCCTGCTGCCGACCTGCTAAACCGGACTCAAGGCCTCAGGGGCCCTGCCGCGTGCCCCAGCTCGACACCCACTGGCCCAGGCCGTCCGGAGCTCCGTGGGCTCAGCCCCTGAAAGTGGGGCGCTCCTATGGCACAAGCACGGCGTCACTGATGGCGGGCGCACAGCCTGAACTGTCATCCGGGGACAGAGGCTCCTGCTGTCTGCTCCCCGGGGCCCCTTGCAGCCAGGCTGTTCCTGAGGGAAGCAGTGGGAAGTGGAAGGGCGGTGGCCAAGCTGGTCGCTGGTGACCGCGCTGCAGGGTGTCCCGGGGAAGAGGAGGTGGGGAGGCCCAGCAGGGGGACAGGGACCCCCAGGGCTGGAAGACGAGACACCCGTTTCTGAGGATCAGCGTTGACACCAGGAAACACTGAGGGACGCACCAGGCACAGCTCAGCTGTCACCCGTGTGAGCAGCTCATCCTTTGCTTGGAACCTGGATGTGGATTATGAAGGCTCCAGACGCACGACGGCGATGACCACTCAGGGTGTGGCCCCTCGGGCTGGACGGGTCTCGGGAGGCGGGGCAGGGGAGGGGGGCAAGCCACGCGCGCCGGCACCCGGGGGGAGGGGGGAGGACACAGGCTGCCGGCTGAAATCCAACAGGCATGAGGCTGGTTACCCTCTGTGACAGGGCCCCCCACAGACAGAGCCAGCCTGGCCTGAAGGAGTCGGTGGCGGGGACTTGCGGGGACCCTCGGGCCCAGGAGCTGCACCGAGTGCCCGAGGGGTGGCTGACGGAGGCCTGGGGGGGCCTGTCTTCCCCCTCTGAGGCAGGGCTCTGAACTCAGCTTCAATGGTGAGCAGACAGAGCCCGTGGGGAGGGCGAGGGGAGGGCAGTGACGGAGAGCGGGGGTCGGGAGTGAGGCCCGCCTGGGGCCCCTGCCTCCCTGTGCACCTCCCTCACCCAAACCTGCCCAACAAGAGCACCTGCCCCTCGGCCAGGCTCAAGCGAGAGAGCCGGCAGGTGGGGACGCGGCCCTGAGCCCAGAGCCAGTGATGCTCGCGACCGGGCGTCCCCGGGATCAGACTCGGGCCCCCACCGTCAGTCCCAGAGTTTCGTCCACAGGAGCTCACCAAGCACCCACAGCGGCCACCCCTGGGCGGGGCCCCCTGGAGAAGGGAGTCGAGAGCGCCCCGGCCTTCACTCCGGTCTCGGGAGAGAGACACGAGCTCTCGTGGAAGTGACAGTGGCCTGGACCACGGGGGCTCGAGCGTCCACAGCTCAGTGTCTCTCCGGGGAGCCCTGGATGGGTCGCGCGTGGACTCACGGGACTGGGTGGTAGCTGTCCTTCCTGGGAGGGCTCCTGGAGAGCCATGTCCCTGCTGCAGGAGGGGTGACATCTGTCCACATGGGAGAGAGCAGGTCATTGTCTGCTGCCTGGAGCTGGAATTGTTCGAGCTTCCCTTGTTGGGAAAGTGTTCTTAGTCCCCTTATTCCAGCACTGCTGCCCCTGCAGGGGGAAGGGGGGGAGGGAGGGAGCGAGGAGTGTGTGTGCACTTCCTGGGAAGAGGCATCTGTGGCTGCAGAGCTGGGCTCCGGGCTCCGGGCATCGGGACATGGGTCCCTCCATATCTGCCAGGGCCCTTGGCCCCCAAGAGCCGAGCCTGGCCCCCCTGCCGAGGACAGACCCCCCCCACGTGGACAGGAGGTGGGTCACCTGTGTAGATGGGCGCGGAGACACCGGTGGTCAAAGCCACCTGCCCAGCAGGGACCGGGAGGGCTGGGAGCCTATGGATGTCTATGGAGTGTGGCGTCTCCCGGCCCTTTCCTTCTGGTAAGGGTCTTCCCCCGGGAGCCCGCTCCCCTGTCCGTGTTCCTTGCCCCACCTCCCCCTCTCACCTGCAAGAGGTTCTACCACAAACCAGCATTCATTCATTCATTCATTCATTCAGTGACAGTTTGTTGGCTGAGTGCCGTGTGCCAGGCTCTGGGGACAGCAGAGGCGTCCTGTCTGCACGGAGCTCAAGTCCCAGTGGAGACAGCCGTGAGCAGACACAAGCGTGAAGCCTGTCAACAGGGATAGGTGCTCAGGAAAACTAACACGCAGAAGGGACGAAAGTGTACTTTTTTAGAAGCATTAAAAAAAAAGGTATAAAGTGAGGGAGAAAACGTGCGCCCGTGCAGGGGTGGGGGTGGTGTGTGGCGTGTGCACGTGTGTGCGTGTGTACGTCGCGTGTGAGGCGGCAGGACTCTTGTTTGTTAGGCCGGAGCCGGTGTTGGTGGCCGCCCAGGTGAGAGGTGAGTGTGCAGGGGCCGCGCCGAGGACAGCTGCGGTCTGGGCATTTCCAACGTGGGGTCCGCAGGACTTTGCCAAGAGGCAGGAAGCGAGCAGAACGGGACCCAAGGGGGACGCCGGCTCTGGACCGAGGCGTCACGCAGACACAGCTGTGGCATGGCCAGAAGTAGAGTGAGGACAGCTGGCTCCGGGGCCCGGGCCCAGATGCTGCCAACCCCCAGCACTGAGAGCCCCTGTCTGCCCATCCGTAAGCCACGTGACACGGGAGTGTCCCTGCTGCTCTGTGACTGGAGGTCCCTTGGAGCCGGAGGCAGGCTGCCTGTGTCTCTAAATGGGGAAGGGGCTGAGGGGACAGGAGGTTGGTTTCACAAACTGCTTTGGGCCCTGGGGGAGGGGACCACTCATGGTTATGGGAGGAAACGGCCCAGACCTGGGGCAGGAAAGCAGGGGAGGGTCTCAGGCTCATCCTCACTGAGAAGGGGCCTCTGCTACGGCCCCTGAGCAGGGAGCCTGCGCATAAGGCAGCCATTACTGTGTGCGGAGACAGCGTGGATCATTCTGGTGTCCCCTCTGGTGTCTGCTCGCTGGAAGTTCCCTAAGCTGCCTGTCCATTGAAATCACCGGCGCAGCTTCCCAGAGCTACACACGCCACGTGCAGCCCAAGACCTTCTAGTCTGCGTGGAAGCGAGCAAAGCCCAAGACCTTCTTTTTTTTTTTTTTT